ATGACCATGTGACGCACCCAGGGCACTGGTTGCCAGATGCGTAAGCGCTCCTTTCCGCGGTTTAAAGGTCTGGGGTATTTAAATGCCCTTGTGCTCACACCCTTTTTGCTTCATGCTTGTTTTTCTTGTATTTCAGCGTTTTTTCGGCTGTTTTGCCAAATTTCTTTGGTATGATACTGCTGTACGATAGTTTAGGCTGCGTTCAGCAGACAGGCAGCAGCAGCAAGGATGAGAGAACTGTGTGATTGATAAAGTTTTCGGGAGTACACGTTTTTTCAACCTGTTGAAAACCTAACAATATGTCATTTATATATCAGAAATGCATAATATACAATTTATTATGTACATGAATATGTAACATGACAGAGGGACCAGGAGCCTTGACATCTGAAAGTATACTTTCAGAGAACACTCCCACTAACCTAACCTACCTTGACATAAAGATTACCTCAACATGAACAAGGCCTGACCTCTACCACAGGACTCATATTAAGGCCAAAGAAATGTCTAAGTAGATATTCACATTTGGTAATCATTGGTATGACCTTTATGATGTAATGACGATAAATGACAAAAACTGCCATTTTCTTAAAATCATATTTTCACGCATGATAGTAAGGTTAACTTTGTATGTAATTACGCGATTTTAATAATTCTTGTTGCAAAATGATCGTCCAGTTCGTATCTACTAAATGTAGCAAAGTCATGCATTATTTCCACCAAATACATTTTTTACTGGAAAAAAATAATGGCGATTTTTGTACGAAAAAGGCGCTTTTTTGCAAGGTAACAGAAACATTGTCGTTTCAGATAGATTTACATAAATGCTAGATTTGGTACTCCTATTTGTTGACTCACTCTGGTCAGAAGGAAACTGCAGTACTATATCACTATGAGGAAAACCATCGCAAAAATTTACGCAGCTTTTTAAATCAAATTTTTTGTTTACAAGCATCACATACCCATGCACTTTTTGTTAAAAAATTATTGTCCTAGCTAAAAAACTTTAAGTAAGCAGGATCGGATAACGAATTTCGTGATCGTACCGACGAGTCTTCCCCTTAACTGAATCTGGTGGGCCTGGTAGACTCAGAATAATTGTAATTCATTTGACCAAAGGACACTCCTGCCAAGTGTTGAGGTCCCTGCACGTATTTCTTTGCAAAGATAACATATTTTTTTCATCTGATGGCAGGTGAAAGGTGGCTTTTTGAGCTTGAAAACTGGACAGTCAGATGTTCATGCCAGCACTGCTGTGCAACTGCAGGGAGACACTTCATTTTTTATCTGTAATTTTTTGAGCTTTTATCGTATGTTTTTTATCAAACCTTCACCCTGGGTCTGTGGAGCAATCAATATATATGTCTTCAAGCTTGGGCTGTGGACTTAGTAGCTCATCCTCTCAATAAAATATTTCATGACATGCTTTAGTCCTGATGTAGTGTTCAATCCTATGCTTGTCAGAAAAAAAAATGTATCTTCAGTGAACCCTGTACAAGGCACTCAGCTATGACACATCATCCTTTACACACACACTCACTCACTCACTCACTCACTCACTCACTCACTCACTCACTCACTCACTCACTCACTCACTCAATCACTCTCTCACTCACTCACTCACTCACTCACTCAAACTCACAGCTAACTTTGCATGCACCCTGGCATTTCATTTGGTATTTCACTGATGGCTTGTGTCAGGATTGGGTTGAATAATTATGAAAAAATAATAAAGAAGCATTGGTAAATATGAGACAGATATTTGCAACATGAAGTGTGAAAACAGCCCACCAGTTTTTGAAAGGCTGTGCTTGAATGAGTCAGCATGAATTGAATGTCGAAAGTCCATGTAAACTCATCAGTGTTCTTGGACTTGGGGGGGTTAATCGGTGTGTAGCTTGTTGGTGTTTCCTTCATTTTCTACCCTACTTTTATTGGTGGTTGTGGTATGTATAATTGACAGGCTTTTGAATCAGGTTTCTTTGAGCTAAAAATATTGTTCTTTTGTTCTTTATCTGTCTCTTCCCCAATATATTAGTCTGTAGTCTTGAAAACAAAATGCATTTTTAAATTTCATATTAATAAAAAAAAAAAATAGAAAAATCAAATTCCTGTAAGCATATATGGAAGAACATAATAAAAAAAACTCTCTTCATAGGTATACTGGAATGATACTATACAAAGAGGATATCGAGGCAAGAAATTCCACCAGAAATAAAAGGAAATTACATACTGTCGAAGAATTTCTTTCAACAGAATCCAAGGTGTCACAAGGTGAGCTTTTCTCGTTGTTTCTTCATGGCCAAATAACTGGAAATTTCTCTCTCTCTCTCATCTTCTCTCGTCTCTCTCTCCGCGTCATTTTCTCTCTCTTCCTCTCTCATCGCCGTGCAATCCTGAAATTTAAAAATGCATTTTGTTTTTCAAGACTACATACTCAATATTATTATCGGGGAAGAGAGTACATTAAAGAACAAAAGAACAATATTTTTAGCTCAAAGAAACCTGATTCAAAAGCCTGTCAATTATACATACCACAACCACCAATAAAAGATAGGGTAGAAAATGAAGGAAACACCAACAAGCTACACACCGATTAACCTCCCCAAGTCCAAGAACACTGATGAGTTTACATGGACTTTCGACATTCAATTCATGCTGACTCATTCAAGCACAGCCTTTCAAAAACTGGTGGGCTGTTTCACACTTCATGTTGCAAATATTCTGTCTCATATTTACCGCTCTTTCTTTATTTTTTCATAATTATTCAACCCAATCCTGACACAAGCCATCAGTGAAATACCAAATGAAATGCCAGGGTGCATGCAAAGTTAGCTGTGAGTTTGAGTGAGTGAGTGAGTGAGTGAGTGAGTTGAGTGAGTGAGTGAGTGAGTTGAGTGAGTGAGTGAGTGAGTGAGTGAGTGAGTGAGTGATGAGTGAGTGAGTGAGTGTGTGTGTGTGTAAAGGATGATGTGTCATAGCTGAGTGCCTTGTACAGGGTTCACTGAAGATACATTTTTTTTTCTGACAAGCATAGGATTGAACACTACATCAGGACTAAAGCATGTCATGAAATATTTTATTGAGAGGATGAGCTACTAAGTCCACAGCCCAAGCTTGGAAGACATATATATCGATTGCTCCACAGACCCAGGGTGAAGGTTAATCCTACGATAAAAGCTCAAAAAATTACAGATAAAAATGAAGTGTCTCCCTGCAGTGTGCACAGCAGTGCTGGCATGAACATCTGACTGTCCAGTTTTCAAGCTCAAAAAGCCACCTTTCACCTGCCATCAGATGAAAAAAATATGTTATCTTTGCAAAGAAATACGTGCAGTGGGACCTCAACACTTGCAGGAGTGTCCTTTGGTCAAATGAATCTACAATTATTCTGAGTCTACCAGGCCACCAGATTCAGTTAAGGGGAAGACTCGTCGGTACGATCACGAAATTCGTTATCCGATCCTGCTTACTTAAAGTTTTTTAGCTAGGTCAATAATTTTTTAACACAAAGTGCATGGGTATGTGATGCTTGTAAACAAAAAATTTGATTTAAAAAGCTGCGTAAATTTTTGTGATGGTTTCCTCATAGTGAATAGTACTGCAGTTTCCTTCTGACCAGAGTGAGTCAACAAATAGGAGTACCAAATCTAGCATTTATGTAAATCTATCTGAAACGACAATGTTTCTGTTACCTTGCAAAAAAGCGCCTTTTTTCGTCCAAAAATCGCCATTATTTTTTTCAGTAAAAAATGTATTTGGTGGAAATAATGCATGACTTTGCTACATTTAGTAGATACGAACTGGACGATCATTTTGCAACAAGAATTATTAAAATCGCGTAATTACATACAAAGTTAACCTTACTATCATGCGTGAAAATATGATTTTAAGAAAATGGCAGTTTTTGTCATTTATCGTCATTACATCATAAAGGTCATACCAATGATTACCAAATGTGAATATCTACTTAGACATTTCTTTGGCCTTTAATATGAGTCCTGTGGTAGAGGGTCAGGCCTTGTTCATGTCTTTATGTTTAGGTTAAGGAGTGTTCTCTATAGTATTCAGAGAAGTATACTTTCAGATGTCAAGGCTCCTGGTCCCTCTGTCATGTACATATCATAGTACATAATAAATTGTATATTATGCATTTCTGATATATAAATGACATATTGTTAGGTTTTCAACAGGTTGAAAAAACGTGTACTCCCGAAAACTTTATCAATCACACAGTTCTCCCATCCTTGCTGCTGCTGCCTGTCTGCTGAACGCAGCCTAAACTATCGTACAGCAGTATCATACCAAAGAAATTCGCAAAAACAGCCGAAAAAAACTTGAAATAGAAAAACAAAGCATGAAGCAAAAAGGGGTGTGGCAGCACAAGGGCATTTAAATACCCCAGACCTTTAAACCGCGGAAAGGAGCGCGTTACGCATCTGGCAACCAGTGCCCTGGGTGCGTCACATGGTCATGTATCCACACTCAAAGTTTGAAAAAATCGTAATTTGTGAACCGTACTGACGACTCTTCCCCTTCCCCATCTAGCTTCCCTAATAGTATAGGGATACTTTACTATGGTGTTAGGAAATCATGTAGTTCTCCCTGCTAATGATCAAAATAATTAGTTTAAGCTCCTTTCAGACAAGGTATTTTGAGAAGACCAATGCTGACATTTTTATAAATTATATACCATGTCCTACGTATGTGCGTATAGCATAATCAGTCTATGATTGGTCACGAATGTTCATAGCAGTTAATAAGAATGAATGTCAACCAACAGATGGCTCTCAGTGTTAGGTAAAACAAGGTTAATGGAGTGGTATATTTTTATAAACCTCAGTCTCTTGGAATACTTAGTGAACAAACTAAACATGTAATACATGTATTCAAACAAGTTAGTTATATATATATATAAGTTAGGAATACATGTACAAGTTATTGTAATATGAAGTCATAATATTTCAAACCTATCTGCAAAAGACATTATGGTAACTTACCTAGAAGCAAAGCTATATTTCTTTCTCCGGTCATTAATATCCATTCTGAGGGCACTATGAGCCTCAAATACAGCTTCTTCTAATTCTGCATTCATCACTGACCCCTGGAAACCAAAATCAAAGGTAAGTATCATGTGAACGGATAATTACCATACTGTCTAATTTCATAAACTAAAAATCATAAACTAACCCTGGGATATTTTGAAGTAAAGCGTCTAGCAGTGTGCTTCATTTTGAAAGGAGTTACAGATTTTGAAGTCACCCATGCTCGAGAGACTGGCTCACCAAAGAATGTAACATGGAAGTACATCTGAAGAAGACAGAATCCATTATAATATAAATGAAAATTATAATACCATATTAGTGTCTTTACCTAAATGACAATATCAGTAATATCATATTCACAAATTAACATACAGGATGATTTTTCTCTGACTTTCCCCACAAATAGCATTTGTATTCAGGATCTAAGTCAACCATAGCTGGCCACCAAGGGTTAGCAGGTATGCAAGCCCAAATCACTGCAAGTATTCAAAAATCACATTACAAAACAAAAGGAAATAAAGCTTCATTTATAGTATTCAAAAATCACATTACATAAAAACAGAGGAATTAATATAAAGATAAATATTGACTCTTGATTTCTAATCACTTTACCTACAAAAAATATATATATACTACTTACCTGAACCTAAAATATATTTATGGTATAAGTAAATTTCATTTGTATCCTTCCAATTCTCTTCTGGAATGCCACATCTATTATGTAAGGGATCTGAAAACAATGATCAACAAATATCATGACTTTATTTATTTCACCTTACAATCATATTTTCATAATTTCTAAGTTTACAAGTTTGAAATCTAAAACCTGAGACTACCTACATGAAATCTGAAATCTAATATTTTTGATACATTACTATAAAGACAGATTATCACAAAAGCTACATAACACCCTAACCTCTTATCTCCCCCTTGAAAAAATTAGTTTCATTTTTGCCTCATTATAGACTGCCATTGTTCCTTAACCCATTCATTAACCCCAGCAGCATATTAAAGTATACACTGGGTGTGTAGAGTCAGCTGCTCAAGGAAAAAATAAGAAATATAAAAAAATTATTATTCTGCTCTCTATGCTTTTGACTGTGGCATTAATAAATGTGCAGATAATGAGGCAACAAAGGGGATTTAAGCCTACTTTTGAGGGGTGTTTCTCCAATAATACCTCAGCCAGAGCTAAATAAACAATCAATTGTTTAGCATATACAACTTAGAACAGGCTCCACCGCACCTAAAATAATGGGATGTCTCAACGGCATGAGGGATGGGCTACCATTGACATTCCCCTAGCGCAATATGGTTAACTGAAATATTTTCCCCAGTCTTTCAGTATAATATCAAAGGTAAATGAAAATGGAGCAATTATTATGTTGAAACTATGCTCATCAGCTGCTGTATGAATGTGCAGTTGTTTTCTTGACTTGACTTCAAACAATGACTCTTATTCTCCTTATAGGAAATATTTTTTTACGGGGATCATCTACCAAAATCTTGATGATTTTGTGGTATATGTATTTCCAGAGTTTCAGGGCTTCCAAATCTCCCCCAAAAATTCTAAGGCCCACCCATAATCTTTAAGGTGGTAGCAGCCACTTTCGATGTCCAATGAAATATTAGGATTTTTCAACTTAGCTTAGCAAATCGGCAATTGTAACGTAACGGTTAGATATAATATAAAATAAGCTTTAAAAATTTCACATATGTGACCAACCTTCATTTTTTTTTAATAAAAAAAAAAATCTGGAAAGTGTTCAAAAAGAAATAAAAAAAAAAAAAAAATTATACAAATAAACAAGAATGATATGCCACCCATATAGTGTTTTATTTTGTTTATGTTTGGATCATATTTCTTCAGTTTCATCCTTCAGCAAAATATCTAGAACAGATGTTAACAAGTGTCATTGGCTAAGAGTGACACTTTTGTTACATTATATCTAATAACTTAGTTGGTAAAATGTAACCCTTAATTACTTATGATGATACAAAAATGCAAGGGAATAAAACCACAAAATACGGTTTAGTGTTAGTGAGGCAATTGCTGTAGAAGTTGTGTTTATATTAAGAGGTAAAGTACATGGGGATGATTTTGGGAGTTACTTCAAATCCTGACTGGCCCACACACTGATTTTGATACCACCTAGAAACCAGGATTATCAGCTTTCAAATGGACCATAGCTAGTGGGTTAAATAACATTGATTTGTAATGTAATAAAATGCAGCATTAGAACAAACAAATGAGTGAAAATCCAGGAAAAAATGGCTGTGGCGACACTCCTGTTACCCTACAAAATATATATATGTGAGGTCTAACATTCATTGGGGTTTTATAATACATGCAGGAGTATGAAGTTGATTCTAAACATAGTTCTGCCCATGAGAGCTGATGCCCATCCATAACCCATTCAAGATAGGTCAAATTTCAGCTGAAGTTTGGCAAAGCTGGGGGATTCAACACATCACTCTGTCCTTGAGATCATAGCTAGCCTCCCAGGATGTCATCCTTGCCACAAAATGCTGTTTCATGACATTATCAACCATTGCTTGGCATCAACAACTTTTGCATTAACATATGATTAGATGTCATACTCAATGATTGGGTAATAGAGAGAGATACATAGGAAAACAGCATTATGTTTACTGTACGATACCAAGTTCTAGAATAATAATAGATACTTAGACCATAACATTTATATGTCAATGATGGAATACTAAAATAAATTAATGGGTATTTGAAGAGAATGATGGAATTTATGCCATTTCTTTTCAAAGACATATGATATATAGAATAAAGAAATTTGTACTGATACCATTACTATACCCGTAGTTAGTAGCAAAAAGTATATATAGAGAACAAAAATCTTTAGTTGATTAAAATTCTATACAGCAAAACTAACATCCTAATATTAGCCTTACCTTTATTCATAATGCACGTCCAAAACTCTGGTAAGGCAGATGGGTCACAGTTATTCCAGCACTTCCTCCACTTACTGCATTTATCGCATTGCACCCACACATCTTCATCCATATGGTGAATCATCTGCAGCAGTTCCATCTGATATGAAAATAATCAGATGAGAAGCATTTTTCAGTGGTACTTTTTATAAAGTATGTATATAATATAAACAGTTCAATTACTCTTGTTTATGCATCAAGAAAAGAAGAATGACCATAAAGTCACCAAATTCTACGACTAATTTTCACAAATTCACTTGTAAAGAGCTTTATACTAGCCATTTACAATTAAAATTTAGCTGTTATGCTGATATAGACAAGTCAACTGGGTGTAATAACAACTTTGTAACTTATGCAGCTCCAAACTGTTTTATCACTGGCAGTACAATGGTGTAAAGACAAATCTAATAAAGAGGAATATGGAAATGGTGAGCAAAATACAACATGTACATGTATTTCTGACAAAGATGCAATTGAAACCAGTCAAATACATCTCTTATATTGTGAAGATATTCATTCTCATTCATAACTTTTTTACATTTGCCAGCATGAATACGGTACCATTACCATGTACCATTACAACTATATGTCATGAAAAGTTTGGCTTAAGCCCAGAGTAACAGTGGACATCATTTTCACCTTAAAACAAAGGTGGATGTTACCATCCTTGAGCCATGGCACCCTTTTTCTATGTTCAGTGACCAGTGGTGCAAGGTGTATAACAGAAAATTGAATGATACAAAAATATGTGACACAAATAAGTGTTACTTATTGTTACTGCACAGAGTTTTAGTCTACCTAGAGAGATGATATGGAGTCTGTACAAAAAAATAATAATAATAAATAAAAAGAAAAAGAAGAGCTGTATCATCATTTTCATATAGCATATCAAATGACAAATATTGATCTTAGAAAATTACTTAAAAAACATAAAATAAGCCTATTCAAGAAAAGAGATAACAACACTGCAAAGGGGAGGCAATGAGTCTTGACAATGCACAAGACTATTTGTGTGGGGCCTGGACTACAAGTCACACATCCTGGAGAGTTCCCACTCCAGTAAATCCAATACCAGGATTTTGGGCCATATGCAGGCAGCAAGGTACTTGAATCAAATTATAATTATCTTTTTTATTATTATCATTAATAATTTTATTATCATTATTATAAACATTAATATGATCATCATCATCAATGTCATTATTCCAATCATTATCACTTTCATTATTTCCATTTTCTTTACTACTATCATTATCATTATTATTTGGAGGGCTGTACCTCTTTCCAAACACAATATAACCAACAAGCTCAACTGTGCATAGCATAGATACTTGCCTTTCAGCATATGGGCTCTGGTATCATAACAGAAATTGATGTTACTTAGTGTGTCTAAGTAGACGTTAACCCACTGGATCCAGATGCTTCACTCCCATCATGTGGTCCAAAATATTAGGCTTCCTTGAGTGGCCACTCTGACAGGTGACAAGACTCAATGCCTTACCTTTGCAATGTTATTTTCTCTCTTTGTGCATAAACATTTTCAGATTTTTTGACATTTTCCAATGTCCATATTTGTCATTTGATTTAATCTACCCAGATATTAATAAACTGTTTTCCTTGCACAGACTCTTATATCATTATCACTAGGTAGTCTTAAACTCACTCCAATAATAAGTAACCTTTTGCTATTTGTTTGTTTGCTTGTTTTTAATATTTAATTTTCTGTAATAGCACCTATGCCACCAGTCTCTGCTGCCAGGAATAGGATCCTGAGCATGGCATCCTCCCTACAGCCATTGTTCTTCCAGTCATGTCTCACGGCCATTACATTCCACAATCATTTATCAATTGGAATAATGCAAATGCCCCTTCCTAAGTGCTAAATGAGTCTAATCACCCTCCAAAAGCTTTGTGCACTTGTGGTGAGTCATTCCCCGTCAGCCCTGCCTTCACCTGAAATGTTCGTGATGGCAAATTCACGCTACCCCAACCAACAGCCAAATTTTTCCACGAAAGTATGTTCATGTCACAAATTTTTTCTTGATATCATCCAGATTGGGGTTAAACAATGACAGGATAATAGAGCAGGTAAATGCCAAGACCCTGTCATCTATAAAGAAGCTACATAATAATGATGTTAGGATATCTGAAACACTGCTGTAATAATGAATGAGGTCATTGTTTATGCTCTTTAGATGTATGAACACTGTATGATGGTGTTTGTTATCCTAATAGAAACACTATATATATCAAATGAAAATATCATTTGAAAAATCTATTTTGTTGACAATTCAACAGTAACTGCAACAATATGTGATAAAGAAACTTCTCAAAATATAACCTATAAGATAATCTATGTACCTTCCTAGAACATTGTTCAGATGAAATTACATATTCTGGCGAGTCTGAATTGTTACTACTCTCAGATGATCTCTTACTTTGTCTTGCTCTGTCAGGTGGAGATAGTTCTTCAGTGTTCTGATAACCAGCTAAGAAGAAACATTTAAGAAAATTTATAGTTATTAAAGAACATTTAAGTTTTAATCTAAATATTATATGTTCACTTGTATATATCTTTACAAACGCAACTAACCTCCACACATGCATGTAAACAACAGTCACACTAGCATGTAAGCATATACATGTGCTTGTGTGTGCGCACACACACACACACACACACACACACACACACACACACACACACACACACACACACACACGCACACACACACGCACACGCACCCACGCACCCACGCACCCACGCACCCACGCACCACGCACCCACGCACCCACGCCACGCACCCACGCACCCACGCACGCACACGCATGCAAACAAGAATTGGAAATAGACAACATTTCTTTCTTCCACACCATAGATGGTCAGAATGAGTTTGCAAAATTCATTCCCCAGGTAAGGCCTGGGCAATATCACACCGCTCTCTTCACTGTAGTAAAAGGTAGATCAGTTGGTTGAATCATAAATATATCATAAATCTAGAGGCTCTCACCACACACCTCAAACTATTACTTCAGATATATCCATATGTATTAAAGCTATTTGTTTAGTAATGAAAGCAGCATTATCAAGTAATTTCTATATATCTACTTCATCATGACACATGTAGATTGTAGATACCAAATTTTTGCATAAACATTGTCAGCTCTCTTTGCCCTATATTTTTTTCAATACAGTAAATGTAACATCTTGTAATACCTGAATTCATGAAATACATCATAAAATACAAAGACACTGCAAACATTTAAGCTCTTGAGAGATTTTTTACCTAAACGCTTATATATACGAGAAATGTTTAGCAGTGGTTTAACATTCATTGATTGTAGGGCTTCAAAATCCTTTGCACATTCATGTACTCCATCTCCATGTTTTACTTCTTCCATAGATTTTCTCTTTTTTCCTTTACATCTGAAAGCACAAAATTATAAGCAAAGTCATACATACAAATTTAGCAACCAAATCTGAAAATTGGGCCAAAAAGATGGAGTGATGAAATATAAGCAACTTGGTATCAAAAGGTACCCTTATGTTACTGAGGAGAAAAAATAAAGCATATGAAATAGATTATAAATGAATTTTTTAACAGCTTTACCAAAGCGTATTAACAATTATCATATGAAAATTAACAATTACCGCAAATAAGGTTAATTATCTATATACATAGCACTGATTTCATACCTGTTATCTGTTTCCAACTTCTGAGGTTCTTGATTACAATCGACTTGCTGAAACAAGGATAATTTGACCTCTTTATTTGCCATATAAAAGATAATCAGTTAATTGCAATAAGGCAAAACAAAATTGATGGTAAGTTTCAAAAATATCTAATTTTCATGAAGAGGGCTACAAATTGGTTCTTCTTGATATGTACTGCATGGGTCACTATACAAAGACTTTATCCAGGGCCAGCATTTGGCATTGGCCATTTAAAGGGACAGTCAAACTAATCTTATTCTGTCCAGGGATCCCTTTACAGAATGGGATACACCCCCAGCTGTGAAAGGAACTAAGATAAAATCCCTGCGTAGAGCAGCACTGCTGTTTTGGTGTTTCACCCCAGCTACAGAGGGTTGCCAAAACAAAAACTGTAGTATAATTACAAGGAATCTTCTTACAGGATTGCCTAACCTAGGGGTGTCAAACATCCTGCATCAGCCCACCACTCCTATATGTGTCCTGTAACACATTTGCTATTTCAGTCTTGTAGTCGGCCATTTTACATGATCAACTAAGCAAGTGCTTCGTGTTTTAAAATGATCACTTACATTTTTAGATTTAAAAAATATATATTATTGTTTTTGTAATGAATGAAATAGCATACCACATTTTTACATCAACCATATGGCTGCTTCAGCTCATGATTACCGGGTCCAGATGCTGTATACTATGATGAAAAGTGACCCCCTGGTGATCATATCATGTCGAGTATAATTTTACTGTAAAAATAAATAATACATTTTATATCTGGCATTCACACCCACTCTGACAGCTGAAGACACGAAGAACACTTCAGACATTATTTACACCCTTTTGGACAAAGTGATAACAATTATGGAATTCTATTCACAAAATATTAAGACAGCAGAAAGTTAAAATAAAAATTAATGGAAATTAATAACATCTTATTCAATTTCAGTTATAGTATTTGCTTCCTTCCAACTTTGGTTTTTATCAGTCTATAATTTTGTTTTGTACATTACTGATTACACTAATGTAAGACTAATATAAGCAGATGGCAAGGTTTTATGATATATGATAATCAGTAAAATGGTTGGACTGGCTTTTCTAAGTTTAGTGTCTTCTTTCTTGAAATATTTCAACTGATATGTAATGACATTTAGCGAATCCATGACTGTCTTCAATGCTTCGTTCATGCAAGTAATTGTAGACACTTTTTTCTTTTCTGGGACAATATTTCTCTATGGGGGACACTATGTGTAACTGACAACACTCTCTTCATGGCTGTCTAAGGATCCTTAGACAGACTGCACCACAATCTGGAGGGAGCCCCATGGACTGTAGTAGTGTTGGATGGAGAGAGGGAATACCAATGCAAACTCACCTATAGCACCAAGATTCCTATAGTAGGCGCTGATTTTATCATTACAAACAACATCACCACTCACTTAATTCTAGTCTCCTCTAGAATGGACTCTTCTAATTTTTATATCACAATCTCAATTCACATCAATTTCTATGAAATCCATGATCACTTTCTAAAAATTATTTGTAAAGACAGTATCAACATTTCAAAACATCTTATGTCTGATACAGATGTTTTTTTATCTACTTACTATTATTGCAGAGTCTAATGTATCCTGATCTATCAAATTTATCACAGAACTAAACAAATCGTTCCATTGTTCCTCTGTCATTTTGCTTCGACATATATCCTTGTCTGACTCTTTGACACCAGAAGCTTTATTCTCATTCTTAGTGTGAGGAGCAGTGAAACTACAACCTGGCTCTTCCATCATCATTTCATTCATATCATTAATTTCTCGGTCGGTATTTTCTCTGTTTCTGAATCTTTCTTTCGTAGTGCAGGTGCTTGGATGGCAACCATGACCTGGGAAGCTGTTGATGCATCTTTGTTTGAGTCATCCTTGAGTTCTTTATCAAATGCTTGAACTTCTGTATGTAATGTTTCTTTCTTGGTGGTATCCACTTTTTCTGATGCAGTCACTACTGTACTTCTGTCTGTTTGGGTATCCTGAAAGTATCAAATCATGAAAACCTAAAATAATCTACATTCAAACTAGATCCCATAAATCTCTAAAGTACTGCACCTTTCCACACTAGCCATGATATCAATTAAGAAATTTACTTTTGAATCTATGGCAAGAAAACAATTCACAGCAACTGCTGAAAATACACAATGAACACTGTCAAAAACATTTTGATCAAAATATTTCTATCTCATATACCAAGTTCAAAAACAATAACAAAATCAATGTACCACTTTTCACATTTTAATACATAATAATTTATGTACTAACAAATGCTCTTTTTCTTTCCTAGTAATTTAAATGGTTATATTTTCTGAGGTGAACATAGAAAAAAACATCATACTTACATCAACCTTGTTTATCAAGTTATCCTCTTTAGCAATTACATTTTTCTCATGCAGACTTGTTTCGCATAATACAGGTTTCTTTATGAGCTGCTGATTTCCTCCTTCATTCGTACATGTAGATTCTGATAACGTTTCTCCATGTTCAGTACAGGTTTTATTTATATCCTTTTCTTCTATGCTTTGGATATCATGTACAGGTGGGGAAAAGGCGGGTCTCTTTGGAAGATGCCTTGTATTTCTGGATAAATACAGCACTTAATTTTGCATTTTTGGGGTTATGCAAATTACTAGTAACACGACTTGTATTTATCCCTTGAACATCTGAGCTTACAAGACGGTTTGATGATTTGACACGTATTTTTCCAAATGTGGGTACTTTCCTTTTCAATGAGACAGATGCTGCCTGTGGCTCACCTTTTGGTGTCTCATCCTCTTTTACCTGTAGACCTGAAGGTTGAGGAGTCAAAACATTAACATCAGATTCTTCAGACGTTTCAATAAAGTCTGATAATTCAGCCTCAGCCATGCTTGCCTTCTGAAAGAGGGAATGTGGCAATTTCATCTTTGGCCCTATTCTTTTAAAGGAGGGCTTGTCCCCTTTCCCTGAGACAGTCTCCGAATGTTTGCTACATTTTTCTGAAATAGATTCAGTGCTCATGCCAGGGTATGGCTGACTAGTCTCATGATGTGCAACCTCTTCTTTAGACATCTCAGTAGTGGGGACCTCTTGTTCTGAGCCACTGGATTTGCTAGTGTTTTGAAATGGGGAACAAGTCTCTCCTGCATTGTCATTCATTTTATTTTGTAAAGGAATATCAATATCTTTGGCTAAATCCCAAGGATTTCTATGCTCAACTGCAGTCTCAGTGACTACTGATGCTGCAGAAACCTGCTTCTCTCCAGGCATCTGACTCATCCTGAAAGACAATTATAATTGAATATTAGGCCTATACTAGGAGAGGGAAAAAAATACAATGTATATTTTTAAGAGATATAAGCAGAAATTTTAATCTATGTATATAAAATTGCATGCTCATACATAGACAGCTAGAAAAAAAAAAAAACAGGTTATCAAAAGGATAATATGGCATTATAATTGCTATAACTTCAATAAGTAATAGAAAAATCCTATATAAATCCTGCTGTGGAATTAAGGTGTATATATACATCACTAGGGTAATGACCATGCCCATCCTTCTCCAGTGACATGAGCATGTTTCCTTCCACTTCCTCAGAAACAAGGAATTTACTGTATACAGGCTGATTGCCAGCAGTGGATGATCAAAAAAAGGAGACGGATTGGGTAATGAGGGTGATCAACCACTAAAAGACAATAGAGGTATTTTATATTTCAGAAGCATTTTCCAAGGATTTTGGAACAAATTGTAAATCAATTAATGTTGCAGACAAAAGGTGCAGGCTTTAGTGGTTTCAAGAAGAAATAAGGTACATATACCTATTTGATTTTTTTATTTATTTATAATTATGTAACAATTTAAAAATCTATACAAGAAATATGATTCCAGCACCTAAGTTTTCTCCACTTTAATACTATTTCTTACTCAATTTTTATATTGTTGCCATAATGAAAGTAAGTTTTCCCACATACCTTTACTAATGAGCATGACAGTGCAATACACACTATTTGGGCTCAGCTCACATAATGACATATTTCAAGTATTTTCGAAATCCATCACCACTTTAATGTCATCAGCCAAATTTAATGAAGTAGTATTTTAGGCTGTACTGTGCCAGTTTTTCTTTTTATGACATGTTTTGAGCTGCACTTCAAACATTCCAGCCAAACCAGGTTAAAATCCATTGAATCTCAAGTGATAATATCGTCTTTCTCTCACTGACACACACTTGCCCCAATCCCCTTCACCCTAATGACCACACTCTTGATTGCTACCACTGCCTCCCCTAGCCACCCTAACAATGTGACCTACTGTGCTACAGTACCAGATATCTTCACTCCCCCCCAATATCTGGAGTTCTACATATACCTTTTGGAACATATAACAATAGAACCTGCTTTTTTTTCTTTTCTTATCTTATTTTTTCTTCATTTTTTTTCGTTTACTATACATCCAGGAGCAGTCCAGAAATCTTTACAGAATAGTTGCCTAATTAGGAATAATCCTGTGTGCCCCAAAAGATTAGAAATAAAATTCAGAACACTGGAAGTGTTTAGTTCTTTAAAAAATCAGATGACAGTCAAGTTCAGTACCAGACAAATTGCCATGGTTGTGAATCAATTTATATCCTTCAAGGTCTGTTCTTTGTAGTTGAAAGAATATAAGTGGTCCCCTAGGATGGCCCTATCATGAATAGCACTAATAGGGGTCTTGGTCAACTTGAACCAAGTAAAAAAAAAAAAAAAGTAAGCAATCCTGATCGAAGGAGACCATAATACACCATTCCACTGGTCTTCTAATGGTTGTATGGTAGGTGGAATAGGAGTTCAGGGGAACTCCACATTCCACTCAATCGCAAGTGTGGTGTTAAACCTATGATGAGATAGGCCTTTAATTTTATAAAACCCTATCAGTGCTTTGTCTTGTGGGCATATAATTGTTAATCTACAAATCTTGTAAACGAGGACATCACTGTGGTCAATGCAGCAGAGGCCATGGCACTTGTGTGGCACTCAGGCCAGAGTTCAGTACCAAATGTGAGTAGGCATAACACATAAAGCTAACTAAAGCAGATAGTTGCTTACTGGAAGTGATTAATATTTACAACATACATTACTAACACACATGTGACTTGAGCGTGGTGACAGTGACAAGGGTAAATGTCAAAGGAGACAAGAATTCCTCTTCCAAGGCTATGTATATACCTTATCAAAACATACTAGTGTGTATGTTTAAAATAAAAAAAAGAGAATTTTTCATAGAGTAAATCTTACGAAATTGTAATCACACATAAAATTGGAAGTATTATTCTTGCTATAAAAAACTGTGCCTCCTCTGGAGAGAGTGGAATATTAAATCCTCTTTACAGTGCCTATATGTTAACAACTTATAAGCATATAATCAACTTGTGTATCATACCACTTAAGGGAGTATAAAAGTAATAAGAAGTAATATCGCATTACCCCCACGTATATTAGGTAACTTCAGTAGAGTGCACATTATCAATATTATTGATTGTCTAGAAATAATACAGATTGTGCCCCCCGCTATAATTTATGTTATTGAGGTGACACCTGGAGTGAACATGTCATTCAGTCATCTCTTGACATGACCCTGACAGCTGCTACACTGCAATTAGAACTGACACCTACATTACTGAAACTGTGAAGTGAAATATTAACAAATGCTGAAATACTTTGGAAAATGAGGTTCCAATATCCTTAAAGAAAAATGCCTGTGTCAATATTCAAAATACCATCGAGTGTCAGATCACAACGATATTGGTACAGGTGGATTCTTCTCACTCTCTATCATGCATGTATATATAAATCATTCCATGGAAACTCCCCAAACACACACAATCTTGGCACTGTTGGCAGGGGACAACGTGTAAGAATACCAGGGAAATTGCTGGGTAAAATACGAGCGATATACGGAATATAATAAAGACTTGGTCTCAGGCAGTCCCGCATGTCAGTCATACAATCTTTCCTGCCGTGAAAATGAGGAATTTTTTTTGTTTCTCAGGCAGAGTTTAGTGGGGGGAGGGGGGGTATTAGGGGGGGGGGGGTAGTAGCCTGGTCAGGAGGACGGTCACATGGGTAGCGCCCCCAACATCAGAAATTAAGTGGCTCATTCTGTGTCCATTGTCATCATACTGACCAATTGTAGGTCTATTGAGCCTATTTTACCCCACAATTTCCTGGCCTCCCCTATCGGCGCCTAGTATATGGGGGGGGGGGGGGGCAGCAAGATCCCTGAATAACTGGGCAGCGGAGAGTGAAGGGAATCTCTTGGCACGTTGAGGTTGGTCAAGTGAAGGTATTTAATAGGATTACCGGCCTTCAGCACACGCAATTTATTCGGATATTTTTGGTCTGATAAAAAAAAGGGTCTTTTATTGCTGTTCCGTCGGGTTTCCATTTCTCGTTTCGCCTTCGTATTATAGTGCGAGCATGAATCCTCTTCGATTACCCAATGCGAACTGACTTGTCGAAAAAAAATGTCAATAATATAAGGAGAGAAACAAGGGAAGAAGAAAAAAAAGAAAGTTGTGATATTGGGAGATTGATCACATGCTGACCTCTAATAATATTAACAAAATTGAGTATTTTTTTAATAGTTTTCTCTTTTTGTTTTTAATTGCGTAAACCACCATCGTCTGTATATGGATGGAAATATCTACAAAATATCATTATGAAAATATCAAGGTATCAATAGTTTTCACCTCCCGTCCGATTTCCCGCCATGAGCGACGTTCCTCTATTTTCTTTTTCATCGCCTCTACCGTAGAGTTTTTTTGAGTAAATCGTATATTAATCATGTCTGCGTTATATTAGCTTTATGATTCTAGATACCAGATGTTGCACTAACCTCTCAATTTCCCGCTGAAGTCGGATTTAACTTGAATTTCTAGTATCACGTTCAAGTGCGCGAGCCGTAGATATTTGAGAGGTCGTTTGTGTAAGACTCTCTGCATTCGTATCAAAGCCTATATATGTAGATAGTCTTTGATTCGTATATCATTTTATTTACATTTATTTAGTTTCAGATTTTTTCTTTGTTAATTTCATTACATATTTGAAGATATGTCTGCATTACAAACAATTTTAGCATTACTTGTTTTGTTTTGCATAAATCTTTAAAGAAAACGAGTAAACACATTTCGTTATTACTAAAGTAAAATAATTATCTAGGCTATTTTCATCTCTATTATGACATATTTCCCCCTAATGTTCCTCCACATTTTTTTCTCTATTTTTGCATCAATTAAGAAATACTTGTCCACCATTCAAACAAGGTTAAATTTGACTGATTTGTAATTCAAACCTACTTTTCTGTACACAGTTATACCACAAGATGTATGAGAAAATAAAAGATAAAACTGGAAGGCAAAAACGAACTTAAAAACAAGTCTTTAAACAAAGGCAACGTAAGGATGTTTTGAAAAATGTGAATAAATAAGAGGCCGGGGATTGAGTAATTAGAGATCATCAATTTTGTAGGATTTCTCAAAGGCGTTTACAATGACAATAGTTTTTTTTTCATATCCTACTTTATCCTTTTTCATAATACAGTCGTGTAGAAGTAATAAATTGCTGCAAGGTCTAAACAAGTTTTGTTGACTTTGCATTGCAGTAGACTAAGGAAGAAGTGAAAGTGCATTAGGGCATAAGTGTAAATCACAGCTTTTTCACCTTTTAGTGGGACTGAATTCCTCTCACTACCATGTACATCAAAGATTATCTATAATGGTTGGATGTGTATAGCCCATATACTTTAATATTGGCAATACTGCCTTCCTTTATAGCTCTTCTCTCCTTAATAAATACCGGAAAGTTACGAAGAAAGCGTTGAGTGGCTTCACTGTTGGCGACATTGATTGATCAAATTAATTCATTGATTAAGGTTATTCCGTTTGTGACAATGACTGTTCTGTTTGGCGTGACAATTTGTTTCTAAATTACCCCGTGTTCAAGGAATGACTGGAGTTATCATCCGCTGGCAGTGCGGGACTCGAACGCAAGTCAGCAAGATTGTTAGACGAGAACGTTACCACTGCACCACCAGCTGAGCACATTGCTAGTGGGGCTGGAATTATGGTTAGTAGTATTTAAAAAGTATCGGCGGTACTGTGGAAACGGGAAGGAGAGGAAGGAGGTCCCCGCTCACCTATTCTACCAACAAGGTGACCAACCCACCCTACCGGAACTTTACAAACAGATTACATTAGGCCGGACTGGATGTACCAGTCCTCAATGGACCGGCTGGGCTCATAACCGTGGTCCTTACCGCTTTGCACGGGCTCACATCAACATCAGGGAGGACTATCTATATCCTCTCGGACATAGTGGCGGTTCATATTATCAACAGACCAGGCTCTTTGGTGCCCCCCCCCCTCCCTCTTCAGGCCTCCTGCCTAATGAGGACCTCGCGCTTCACCTGACGTCGACACAAGCGACAAGGAAGAAGAACCTATCCACCCATGACCGGGGGACTGGACCAAGGGCTATACTTATGTGGACCTTGGTTGGGTTGCCTCCTGCCACAATAAAGTCGACGGCTTCTTGGCACCAACAGAGATGTAATGCTATGCAGGAGTCCTTCACAATCTGCTCGAATAGATAGAAGAGGATTTGAAAAACGATTACTGTGCTGTCGGTAGCTCGGCTGCTCGGCTCCAGCCAAGTGTTCCTGACTGCTCTTTAGTACGAGTTCCGACCATGGCCCCACACCTTGCTCTGTTGGTTCCTCCTCCCCCCCTCATGGGTACAGTGGAGGGGGGGTGTACCGCTTATTTCATATATTGATGACTTCACACAAGTTTCTATGGCATTTCTAGGTACCTTCCCACCAGCAACCGTGGTGAATGACATTAGTGACAGTGGCAGCAAAGTAGTTAGCAGTAGTTAGTAAAATCGCATCTGATGGTTCTTATGCTTACTCTCTCTCTCTCTCTCTCTCTCTCTCTCTCTCTCTCTCTCTCTCTCTCATCACACACACACACACACACACACACACACACATACACAAATATATGTGTGTGTGCGTTTGATAAAAGATGAAAAATAAAAATGGAAACATACT